GCAGCGCGAGCGGTTGGCAGGGCGCTGGCGCAGGGCAGAGCGCCGGCGCAGGGCAGGGCGCCGGCGCAGGGCAGGGCGCTAGCGCAGGGTAGGGCGCTGGCGCAGGGTAGGGCGCTGGCGCAGGGTGACACGAGGCAGGGCAGGGCAGGGCGTGCGCGAGGCAGTGCGACGCGGGGCAAGGCAGGGCGTGCGCGAGGCAGCGCGACGCGGGGCAAGGCAGGGCGTGCGCAGAGCAGCGCGACGCGGGGCAGGGCAGGGCGTGCGCAGGGTAGCGCGACGCAGGGTAGTGGGGTAACGCAGTAACCGCATTCGGTCGCTAAATATGGTGGGCCCGGAAAAAAAAACAGTCCTACGGACCTACTGCTCTGAAACCAGATTAAGATAGGTTGCATTGAATGAATTGTGGGTACAAGTACTAACCCTAATATTGGGTTGTACCCCATATGGGCTACCCCTCTATAGCCTACACACAACTAGCACAGATATAGTTTGACAGTTTTTTGTTTCGCGTACAACCCTTACTTTTGGGAATGCATATTCAGCATTTTTTCTTGCTACCGAAACAACCTCGCGTCGACTTCACAGATTGACTCGCTATATCATATCAAGTCATTTATTGTATGGCCGATCTATATTGTCAAAGCTTCGTTGTTTTTTATTCTGTATAATTATGTTTGACACCTAATATATATATATATAATAAACCAAGATGATGGAGCCCTTTGTTAGATGCTTAAAGCCAGCAGCTAAAATTGTGACCCCCCACCTTCTAGTGGGTCCACTTGAAATCTCATACTAGCTTTGTAATGCTTCTGAAATTCGAAGTGTTGTTCTATTGTGTTTTTCACACACGTTCGACTTCACAAAAATAAACTACAAAATTCGTCGCAAGCATGTGCAAATACGTCGCAAGTTTGCGACGTGCACGCTGTGCCTGGTCGGCTACGTGGACGCCGACGACGCGGGCGACAAGCAGAACCGGACAAGCACGGGTGGCTATGTGTTCGTCTTCGGAAGGGCCGCAGTTTCCTGGTCGAGCCAGCGCATCAAGTGTGCGACGCTCTCCTCGACCGAATCGGAGTACGTTGCGGCCACGGAAGCTGGCAAGGAGGCTCGTCGACTTCGTTTCATCCTTGCAGAGTTCCAGCTGTTGGACCCTGGGATGCCGTCTGTGGACAACCAGTCGGCCATTGCTGTCGCGGAAGGCTTGGGGCTTAACTGCAACCTCAAGCACATGGAGCGACGTTATGCCTGGCTGCAGCAGATGGTGAAGCGTGGGAAGATTGCGCTAAAGTACATCCCCACCCCTGAGCAGCCGGCAGACTTCCTGACGAAGGGGCTGCACTTTTCGGCCTTCAACCGGTGCTCCGTCGCGATTGGCCAAGTTCGTCTGGCTGACGTCGGCGACGGTGACGACGATGTGAAGCAGTAGGTGCCGTGCCCTTATGCACGGCTTGTGCGGTGACTGGCGTGCTGTATGTTGTGTGCACGCTGACGAAGGATTTTCTCAGTGTATTCTATCCCTTGGGTTCTGGGTGGGCCTTGTGCGTGGGGTGCCCAAGTGTGAGTGCGGCAGGGGAGTGTTGAAGGAAATTGGCCCCGCCCTCGCATGGGCAAAACTGGCTTCGTGGTCGGGTGTGCGGGAGGTGCAGCCGACCTTCTACAGGAGTACAAGGGTTGCCTGTACACGAGGTGTACTAGGGAATCCATGCAAGAGTAGCAGAAGCAACCGCGAGTGCATCACAGATGTCCCGTGCATATGAGCAAGTGGCGCAGCTTGTACAGAGGTTTGCGGGTGTTCGTCTGCGCAGGGTCGCGTCTGACCCTGCGCACCCTTGAGACTGCACATGCGAATTTTGGCCAGAAATTCGAATGTGCTTTAATTTCGACCAATCAGGAGCTGACATTTTGAAATGTTGACCGAGGTGTTCGACAAAGGTGTTCGACGAAGGTCGTCGAGCCGCGACGACGAAGGTCGTCAACTGGTAATGACGAAGGTCATCATCCTGCAGGGTTGTCAAGGACTTTACCTGGTTGACCAGGTTACCTGCTCGACGAGGTTCCGCGGAGGGTCGCGAACGTCGTCGAGGTTGCTGTAGCGAAGTCGACCGACATGGCAGCACGTGGTCGACGTGGCTCATCAGGTGCAACCGTCAGCATGTGGCTGACAACCTGCGCAATGTGCTCGACAGTGCACGTCGTGCATAACTGTCTACAAGCACCTGCGAAGTAGGTGCTTGCACATGCGCTTACAATCACCTGCGGATGCAGTGCTGGCAAGCCGCGCGGATGCAGCATTGGCAAGCCGCGCGGGTGCAGCGTTGGCAGGCCGCCATTCTGCAGCGTTGGCAAGTCGCACACAAGCTGCGTTGACAGACCGTGTAGATGCTGCGTTGGCAGGTCGACAACTCTGTCACGCTGGCAGTCGACCTGCCTGAGTTCTAGCAAACCTTGTATGTGATGTAGTCAATCTTTGCCATTGCTTGTTATCATTCTGAACTATGTATTCTCAACTTTTCCTTAATGAAACTCTTGTTGTTTTGCCCTGTGAAAACACAAGTCCTAAAGAACACAGACAGAGCTACGATCACTCTACCAACTTGTGCCTACCCTGCAGTCTAGCTCCCACCGTTGTAGAGTTAATTTCTTCAGATGCGACGCCTGACGTGCTGTGTTTCTTTCTTCGGTTTTGGCGGGAACCAATCAGATTTGTTCGATCTGTTCGAACGCTCTCAATGAAACAGTGCAAACTTGTCAGTTTGGTTTGAAAATTGTTTCGCTCGACAAGCCCTCTTTCAAGCTGGAGACGGATTTAATATTTTGCATTTCGGTTTTAAATATATGATAAATTTGATGTGATTTGTTTTTTACAACATCAGGTTTCTATATCAATGTTTGCGCATGTAATCATTTGTTGCAGTAGTCGCTATTTTGTGCCCTATTATTATTAGTAGTTGGCACATGCGTTATTGGCACTTTTTTTGTACGTGAAAATGTTCAGATTAATAAAGCCATAAATATAGAACCCTCGTAGATGACATTCGATGCCTCCCCATGATTGCACACCTTTCCCCGTAGGGTTTATCTGCAGTGTTATTAGTTTATGCGACAAGAAATAAGTGCGTGTCATATGGGATCTCATATTTTCAGGGCTACAGAATAACATAAGGGTAATATGCTGGGCTCGGTAAAACCCTTGAGCCGACTACGGGTGCGTTTCTATCCCGTGTCAGACATCAAGTCATGCGGCCTTAGTCTCCAATTTGTCTCTTCCGAACTTCCAATCGCCCCAAAATCGAGCCACTTCGGGTCTTCCGAACCTCCACTTCGTGTCAAACCTAATGTCTGACACGGGATAGAAACACACCCTACTACTGCAAATATGGTACTAAATTTCGTCTCCTGCAGAGAATTTATCCTACGGGCGCTAACATTTTTTGAAACCTCTTTCTGTAGCAAAACGCTCGTTTGATGTGCTCTCTGACTGTACCTGCCAGATCATACCACCCGGTTCCATGCGACTGGCTGTGGAAGAGTGACACGAGATTGCTAATCTTCTCATTGGCATCTCTCTCCTCGATGCAGATGGAACGACAGGTGGACCTCATTTGTTCGGCACCGAGTTTCCGGAGGGATAATGTTGCTTACACATCAGATGGTGACCAAAACACGTGTCACGCTCTCCTGGCTTCTCAAAATGCCGAGCCTCCGCGTTTGACGCTCAAGCACGGCCGCATTCCACGGGTTTCCTTGAGTTCCGGTTTGTGGCTTCTTGCCTTCCGGTTGGTCCGCCCCAACTCAACGCGTTTATGCTAGCGACAAGTGCGGCTCTCCACCCTTGGCTCACTCCTGTTGGCTGTCGCTGCAATCGGCTCCTGGCCGGCTCCCAAAACTTGCTGCGTACACGCACACCAGCTTCCCAGTCAGCATAACAAATATCCCAGGAGATCTAGCATTTTTAGGAACACTACACTTTAGAATATCCTTGCTGGGCAGATTCTTTTGAATCTATATACATAATCGATCAGAGTTCCAATTTGTGAGTGCAAAACACAACTATTGATCCTTTCTCCACTGTGCCCGTCATCCCGACTATCGTTCAATAATCGTTTGACTCCCCACTGACTGGATCGACCAGTCACATCACTCCATCCGAAGCTTGTCAGCTCACCACTGTTGGCTTTCCATTCCATCACCCGGCAGAGCGAAACATCTGTTCTGTTGGCAGCATTTACCAATTCGGAAGGGTGAGCAACAGCATCACACAACCCATGCAGAAAAAAAATTCCATCATGCTGCAGTGTGTTCCACAGCCGACTTAACCGAACCAAACCCGAGCCTACCTCGAGTCAAATCCCCATCTCTTTCCAGCTCACGCCCCCATCGAAGCCGAGTGTCCTCATGCCACCTGTCGATCTCCTTACCTAACCAAGTTTGTCGCGTCACATCTCTACCGAACCTCTCCCATGCCACCCAACCAAAGCACATACATCCTCGCCTCCTCAGCCAGCCACCTCAGAGGTCCCCATCTTGCGGTGCTGATAAGGAGCGATTGTTACACACACAACTCATGTATTGTCGTGGTGCTCTGCGAATTCGCGCCTCATTGGCACTTGTCTGTTCCTATTCCTCCACCCTAACACCCTACCTTCCATCTCACGTGACCAAATTTCCCTTTTTGAAAAAGAATCTCTTTGACCACCTGAGGATCCTCTTCTCCGCAGGAGAAAAAGGCTATTACCCTTCCTTACTACGCATTTCCAACGGATCGCGCAACCCATCTCCAGGCGGACCTGGCTTCCCTGGCGCGAATCGCGACTGAACTCCTGCCGTAGCAGGAACGTCGCAAAACGGATTCACCAAATACTATGCCCTTGCGAAGATCTGCCACTGTCACACCTCCGCAAAAGACGTTCGCCTTCTAAATTCCAAGTATCTCCACGCGAAAAGATTGCCGAGAAGAGTCGTGAGAGACAACTATGGCCCTCCAGTTTATGCCAATGGACATACCGTCGACAACATGGGAGCCCTCCGTGTTTCGCGCTGCTGAGCTCGCCCCAATGACGCCGGGCGGAACAGGCCCGCCCACCAGCCCCGCATTTCCGCCCAAGGCCAAATTTCGTGGCGGGAATTCCAACTCGGCGGCGAAGAATAACCAAGGTTCGCGAAGCTCGCCAAAATTCGCGAATCTGCAGCCCCCAGCATGCGGATTTTCAGACGACTCTGGCGAAGGCCTGAATCCAGAAGTCGACGACCCTCAATGTCGCCAAGCTAATCTGCTTCCGCCAACTACTCCGCTCGCCTCGAACGCGGCGGCGATTAACACACCCAAGAAATGCGGCGGAAAAGGCGGCGGCAGAGGCCGCGGGAAAGGAAAAGGCGGAGGGAGTGTTTCCCAGACAAGCGGAGCAAGCGGGATTGAGATCGCGGGGAATGCGGCGCACGCGGTCTTCGGCCAGTCCCCCGCGGTTCAACCGCGCTGCTTACCGCCCACGCTTAGCATCCCGCCTCCCCCGCAGCTGTTCCCCCCTGGCTCCCCTTCCGCGGCTGGCGGAGCCCCGCACCTGCAGGCGCCCGGCACCCCCTGCGCGGGGATGATCCGCGCGCCTTCTCACCGCTTCCCCGCGTCTTCGACCATCCACACCGCCGGTACTTACGGCAGCGGCAGGAGCGGATGGAGCGGTGGAGGTGGCGGAGCGCAACCCGCGGAGTCTATGAAGCGGAAGCGCCCGCGGTTCGCGGAGGAGCAGCTAGCGCATTTGGAGGCGCATTTTGCGGTGGAGCAGGAGCTCACCCCGGCCAGCAAGAAGCAGCTGGCGGCGCGGCTCGGCGTGAAGCCGCGGCAGGTGTGCGTGTGGTTCCAGAATCGCAAAGTGCGGCAGAGAACGCGGGAGCGCGAGACGGAGCTGGAGGGCATGCAAGCGGCGTACGCGAAGCTTCAGGCGACGTGCCGCGAGCTGCAAGACGACTACGAGCTCCTGAAATCGGACTACCAGGAGCTGCTGCTGCAAAACACGCAGCTTTTCGACATGGTGAGTTGCTCGTGGGTGCGCGTGGGTGTTTGTGGGTGCGCGTGGGTGCGAGTGGGTGCTGGATTCAGGAAGTTTAGGGTCGGAATGGGATATGCAGAATGAATGGTGCTGACCTTCCTGTAACAAAATTCATTTCTTCACACTTCAAGCGGGTCACTAACTTAAACGAATCTCCTTGTATCGCGTTTGCTTCGTTTGTGCAGATGCAGGAGATCGAGCAGCAGCTGGGGAACCCGCAGATCCCACCCGGTGATCGCCCCGTCACGTCGCGATTCAATGACACCACAGCCCCGGACAACCAGCCTGGCGGATCTGCCCAATCGGACCGCGGCGGGCAGTCGAACCAATCTGAGGAGGAAGTGGAAATTCCGTCTGTCCGGCTCCAGCCCCTTCATCAGCAACAGAAGCAGCGGCGGCAGGTGCGGCGGGAGGAGAGGCAGCACCTAGCGGCGGCTGCGGCGGCGGCTGAGGCGGCGGGAGAGGCGGAGGAGGAGGAAGAAGACGAGGAGGATGAGGACGAGGAGGAGGGGGAGGCACAGCCTGGGCCGTGCGCTACGGCCTTCAACAAGCAAGCCGAGCCGCTCCTTGGGAACACGGCGACCTGCTTTCCAATCCAGGAGTTTTACCCTGCAGCGGCCGGGGAGGTTTCCAGTTTTACCCCCGGCCCACCTTCGGGTAGCCCGTTTCACATCCACGCCAAGAATCAAGCCAATCCGGTCAAGCCCCCTTCGTACCAGAGCAACTCGCCCGATTCGTCCTTGGATGAGATCGGCGGCGCGCCGTTCGCGCTTCCCCCTCCCGCCTTCCCCATGGGCGTTGCGCCAACCTCAGCACCCCCCGTGCTCTTTGAGCCCCTCACAGCTTTCGCCAACCCTGGTAACCGCGTGGGGGAATCCGAGCATTTCGTCGCTCCCTCCAACCAGCAGCAGGGTCCCGATCTCTACGACCTCTACTCCCAAGCTCCCGCTAGCGGCGGCGGCGGCGGCGCCGAATTTTTGGATGGCTGGATGGACGGCGACGCGACGGCGATGCAGCAATCTGCTGGCTTACCGTTCGGCCTGACGGCAAAGGCTCCGGCGGAAGCGGAGGCGGAAGACGGGGAGAGTGATTCTGAGGCTGCAAGGAGAACAACAGTGCATGGCGGGAGGAATGCTGCGTTCGCTTCTCCTAGCGGCGAGCTCGTCGAGAATGGCTTACCTCTTGACGTGTTCTCCTCGTGGAATGAGGGGCTGCCTCAGGCGTGTATGGAAGGCGCGGGAGAGGCGGAACAGCGATGCGCGGGTGGGGAATTCGCGGGCGCAAGGGAGGATACGAGCGGAAGCATGAGGGGGAATCAGGAACCGTTCGATCTTCTGGGAAGCATGGAGGGCGCAATGGGAGGGATGGGGTGTGCCGAGGATGGCGACGCGAGCGGTGGTGTTGCTGCTGCGGACGACATGGCTAGCATGTGCGGGTTCGACATGCAGGCTTATGCGACTTTCTGAAGCGGCTTCTACAACGACTTTTTGCACGCTTTTGCTTGATGGTGTTTTCTGAAGCGGGTTTTTTTTCGCGCGCCGCGTTTCGCGGCGCTCTGCAGCACGTGCGCTTGCGGCTTTCACGGAGCCGACAACAAATTGACGACGGCGGGGACCGTGATGCTATTCCGTGCGGGGACCAACATGGCGGGAGCAGGGAGGGCGGAGTGCGACGCACGCGATGTCACGCGACGTTACGAGGAAGTCGAACTGTCTCGCGTACCAATCCGCGACGCGCTGCGTGGACGTCAACGAGTTGTTTACGACTGGCATGGAATGTTGCGCGAGGCTTATCCAGCAGAGAGGACCTCCATGCTGCGCGAAAACTTGGTTCGTATTCCCAGCGCTATACCTGGTTACTTTTGGCTTATGGTAACTGTTCGGACAATTCTCACAGAACTAGGTTGAATAACGTGAAATAACTCACCTCTAAAGAGGAACACTGCTTTCCTTAGCTATGGTGAGGTATCAATAGCTTGCTTACTACTCCACTTTGCTATTGTGAGTTGCTCCTTGAAACGAATTTCTATGTTGTAACATATTTGGCGGCCTGGTTTGCAATTCAGACTTGATCGTAGGCAGACTGAACATGATTTCTGGCTTGAAAATAAACTCGAATGCTCCAGAAACGAACGCCAGCTTCTCCTAAAAAATGGATTGAAGCTAGCACGAGCTTTTCACCCAAAGAAATGTTCGTACTGGTAACACATCAAAATATATGCGAAGGGATGGTTGGCAGCGCAACAATAGGCTGTGTAAATGCTGTGCCATTGCTTTGCTCCTATTTAAATGCACGAGAAACAAGGGCCGGGATATACAAATGCACGGGTTAGGCATTTTGTGTAGCTGTACAAAGTGTACACGCGCCTTCATCCCCGACCACAAATCCATATTTTGCATCCCTACACTCAGTACTTGAAATTTTGAGCAACCTTCTGTAATCCCCTCTGTTTCGACAAGTACAGCTTATACCGCCTGCACCTGCTGCTTCTACTCCCACTGCCCACACTCTCAGCAAGAGAACCACTCTTCTGTCCAGGCGCCATGTTTCCAACACTAAAACCGCCAGCATTAGCACCACAGTGAGGAGCAGCAGCGGCAGAGGCTCGGCGCTTAGTTAAAAGTCCAGGCGGCAGCTCTTTTTTAAGCAGGGTGGAGAAGCAGCGCCTAAACTTGGTCTGGGTGTGCGTGATGGGGGGGAGGGTGGCATCATCAGCCACATCCAGCTCCTGTGTTTGTGTGTGGTGACAAGGAGTCAGAAGGGGTAACAAGGAGTCAGATGGGGTAACAAGGAGTCAGATGGGGTAACAAGGGGTCAGATGAGGTCAGTTCCTGTGTGTGACGGGGGGAGGTGGCATCATCAGCCACGTCCAGCTCCTGTGTGTGTGTGGGGTAAAGGGTGGGAGTAGGGGGGAAAGGGGGGCTGTCTCAACATGTGACTTTTGAGTCGACTCAAAAGTCACCTCATCATCAGCCACGTCCAGCTCCTGTGTGTGTGTGTGGTAAAGGGTGGGAGTAGCGGGGGGAAGGGGGGGGGGTTTCAACATGTCGTTAAGACTCGGGGATTGACAAGTGCGGTTGTAAGGCGAATCTGTTTTTTGAGAAACTAGTTACCGCCAAATTGATTCACACAAGAATTTTTTCTACAAGCAGGCCCTCGAGCCTGAAGTGTTCTAAATTTTAAACTTTTTGCTAACTACAGAAGCCGCAGCCTCGTAATGTCTCCCACCACCAAGTGGTGTTCCTTGTGTAAGGCGAATCTGTTTTTTGAGAATTCTCAAAAAACATACTTCGAGGATTCTAAAAATAAAAACAGGTTGTAAGTATTGGCAGGCAACGGTGGCATGGCGTCATGAGCCATGTCCGACTCCTTTGTGAGTGTGTGAGTGTGTGGGGGGTTCAGAATAGAGACGGATGGAGGGACAAGGGAATATTCAATACACTGTGCACAGAATGCACAGCGGACATCAGAATGGACGGATGGATGGTTGCACCATTCATCCAGCCATGTCCGATTCCTGCATGTGTGTGGTTCAGTCAGATGTAGCTACTTTAGAGGCTGAAAATTTGGACTCGGGATCAAGGTTGGCTGAATGATCCAAGTTCATATTGGGAGTAGCAGCAAACCTAAAGAAATCGCTTAAGCAATTGGATCAAGACTTGCAAAATTTGTTCCTAGAAATTCAAGAAAATCTGACTCGGGGTCAAGGTTGGCTGAATGATCTTGCAAACTTAGACTTGACCCCCTTACCTCCGGAACAGGCGATTGAGCTGATTTTTGAGGCGCCTACCTAATTTCCTTCGGAACAGGTGATTGAGCTGATTTTTGAGGCGCTTACAAAATTTCCTTCGGAACAGGTGATTGAGCTGATTATTGAGGCGCTTACAAAATTTCCTTCGGAACAGTTGATTGAGCTGATTTTTGAGGCGCTTTCAGAATTTCCTTCGGAACAGGTGATTGAGCTGACCTGTGATGCAGTGCCATCTGCCCTACCCGCAATAGGTTGGATATATGGCGGGCTAGATTTCCGTTTTAAATACGGGTGATTTGATCTGCCCTGTAATGCACACCAAAAAGACGAAGATCACACTTACTTGAAAGAGATGCTTAATCTGCTTTAGCAGTGGAACCAGGTGCGCTGTGTCAGGGACTATTGCAGCAGCACTTGAAGCGGAAGTGCCGTGCGTTGGGGCGTAGAAAGCAGTGTGAGCGGCGTCGATGAGAAGAAGGAGAGACTCTTGAAAGCGGCGGCGCAGGCCAAAGGCTAAAAGCACATTGCTCCTGGGAAGGTGAGATGAAAAAATACGAGAGGGATGAGAGTAACAGAAGGGAGTTTGAGGAGAAGTTAAATAGACTCTTGAAACTGGCGGCGCAGGCCTAAGGCTAACAGGACACTGCTCCTGGGAGGATGGGAATGGAAGGCAACGCACAAGAAGGAAGGGAAGAGAAAGCAGTGTGAGCGGCGTCGATGAGAAGAAGGAGAGACTCTTGAAAGCGGCGGCGCAGGCCAAAGGCTAAAAGCACATTGCTCCTGGGAAGGTGAGATGAAAACATACGAGAGGGATGAGAGTAACAGAAGTGGGTTTGAGGAGAAGTTGAATAGACTCTTGAAACTGGCGGCGCAGGCCTAAGGCTAAAAGAACGTTGCTCCAGGGATGGTGAGGTGGGAACCATACAAGAGAGACGAGAGTAACAGAAGGCAGTATGGGGCGTCAAAAGCAGCATGGGCAACGTCGATGAGAATGAGAAGAGACTCTTGAAAGCAGCGGCGCAAGGCACAGGCTAGAAGAACGTTGTTTCTGAGAGGTTGAGAAGGGAACGCACGAGAGCGAAATGAAGAGAGATCAATGGCACCAGGAGAATACGAGAGAGAAATGTGAAAAGGAGAATATGAGAGAGAATTCTCAAAGAATTCTCAAAAGGAGAATACGAGAGAGAATTGTGAAATGGAGAATATGAGAGAGAATTCTCAAAAGGAGAATACGAGAGAGGGAAAAGGGGAGAAACAAAGAGGGAAGTCATGCGAACATGCGGGAGAGAAGGGAGTAAAAGCACCATGGATAAAAAGTGGGCGGGTATAATGTTGAGTGCGTTACCTGAAGCTGATGACCCCCTTGTCATAGACTGTCGGTGTAGCCGAGTGGTGGTTCGACCTGGCGAGAAAGAGAGAGGAGGAAGGATAGGAGCGGGGTGGAATGGGGTGGGTGGGGGGAGGTAGAGGGAGTTGAAGTATGGTGAACGGTGGTTCCACCTGAAGCTGATGACCCCCTGCAGGGTTTTTTTTTTAGACTTCTCAAAAAAACCCTGCAGCACCTGAAGCTGATGACTCTTTTGTCATAGCCTGTCGGTGTGGTGTGGCCGAGAGAAGAGGGAAAGAGGGGGAAGGAAGGATCGGAGGGGGGTGGAATGGGGTGAGCAGTGGTTCCACCTGAAGCTGATGAGTCCCTTGTCATAGACTGTAGGTGTAGCCGGTGGTGGTTCGAGATGCTGCAGGGTGTTTTTGAGAATTCTCAAAAACACCCTGATGAGTCCCTTGTCATAGACTGTAGGTGTAGCCGGTGGTGGTTCGAGATGCTGCAGGGTGTTTTTGAGAATTCTCAAAAACACCCTGATGAGTCCCTTGTCATAGACTGTAGGTGTAGCCGAGTGGTGGTTCGATCTGGAGAGAGGGGGAACAGAGGGATCGGGAGTAGAGGAGAGGAAGAAATGGATGAATGGATACAGAGAAGTGAGGAAACGTAACGAGACTGGAAGGGGGCATTCATGCCTAGGCCGCTGCTGCTTCAAGCTTTCTGCGTGTACAGGGTGGAGACTGCTTTGAGACGTCTCAAAAAGCTTTCTGCGAGTACAGGGTGGTGACTGCTAGTTAAAGCTCGCAGCCAAAGTTGCACAAGTTTAGTAAGGTCGACCCAGGTGTTTTTCAGGTGGTTTTCAGGTGGTTTTCAGGTGGTTTTTGACGCAAGTTCTGTTTTAGACGCAGGTTCTGTTTTTGACGCAAGTTCTGTTTTTGACGCAAGTTCTGTTTTTTACGCAAGTTCTGTTTTTAACTTTTGAGTTTGGTTTCACACGCCCCTCCCCGCCAGGATTACTAAGGTAGCTCTGCGCGCTTCGCAATTTGGGCCGCGGGCTTTAAAGGCCGGCTTATACTGGTGACTTTTGAGTCGACTCAAAGGCCGGCTTATACTGGTGACTTTTGAGTCGACTCAAAGGCCGGCTTACACTGGTGACTTTTGAGTCGACTCAAAGGCCGGCTTATACTGGTGACTTTTGAGTCGACTCAAAGGCCACCTTATACTGGTGACTTTTGAGTCGACTCAAAGGGCGGCTTATACTGGTGACTTTTGAGTCGACTCAAAGGCCGGCTTATACTAGAAAATTGCCACACCAAACACTTCTGAGGCGCTTCAAAAATAGATCCCTCTGGATTGCCTCAGAGGGTGCTGAAGCGGTGAAAATTGTCACACAAAACACTTCAAAAACACTTCAAAAACACTTCAAAAGCACTTATCTGCCGCCTCCTCTCTTTCTCTCCCATCTCACCTCACCTCACCCCCCACTGCTGCAGCACCCTCTGGCACAACCTCACTGCTGCCTGCCCTGCTCCACCTCACCTCACCTCACTGCATCGCACTGCAACTCACCTGGCGCGTTCAATCATCACTTCAAGCTGCAGGTTGGGGCAATGCAACGACACCAGCTTCAGCCACCTGCGGTAAACCCCCCACCCACCCCTCCACCCCCCTCTGTTCCACCCAACCTCACCGCACCCCACCGCATCTCACCTGGTGCGTTCAATCATCACTTCAAACTGCAGGTTGGGGCAATGCAACGCCACCAGCTTGAGTAGAGGCGTGCTGCCTGCTCTGCCCCACCGCATCTCACCTCACCTCACTGCACCGCACTTCACCCGGTGAATCACTCGCTCGTTCAATCATCAATTTAAACTGCAGGTTGGGGCAATGCAACGCCACCAGCTTGAGCTTGATTAGAGGTGTGCTGCTTGCCCTCCGCCACAACCTCACTGCTGCCTGCCCTGCTCCACCGCACGTCACCGCACCCCACCGCACCTCACCTGGCGCGTTCAATCATCACTTCAAACTGCAGGTTGGGGCAATGCAGCGCCACCAGCTTGAGCCACCTCCGGTACACCCCCCACTGCTGTACCACCCGCTGCCACAACCTCACTGCTGCTCCCAGCTTCCCTCCTCCCTCCCTCTGTGCCTTGCTAGGTGCTGTGAGCTCACTATCCACAATACTATCCCTCTGCCACAGACTCGCTGCTGCTTCCAGCTTTTCTCCCTCCCTTGAAACAGCAGCAGAAGTTACCCCTTGAGCACCCATATTGCCTGCCCTTAACTGTTGAGAATTCTCAAAAGTTTCTCCCTCCCTTGAAACTGCAGCAGAAGTTGCACCTTGAACACCAATACCGCCGCCTGCTCCTAGCTGTAGCCTTCCTGTACTAATATTTTCTTCCTCACGTCCTTCCCCTTTCGCTTCAAACGCCGGCTCCTTCTTTCGGGGATCTTTCCTTGGGAGTTTTGAACCAAACATACCTTCCTGCCTCACTCCCTTTCCTTCTTTCTTTATCCTCGTGCATCTCGCATCACTCTCACCACCCATCTCGTTCTCCACTCCCTTCCCGTCTCCCCTTCCTCCCCGCTTCCTCTTCCCCCCTACCAGCAACCGACCCACTTTCTCTGCATCCTCTATTGCCCACTCTCTATCCCATTCCTCCCACTCCTCCTCCTTCCTTACTCCCTCTCCTCCATTCCCACCTCCCTTCCCTTCTCCTTTTTCCATCCCTTCTCGTCTTTCCTCCCCTCCTCCTCCTCCTCCTCCTCCTCCTCCTCCTCCTCCTCCTCCTCCTCCTCCTCCTCCTCCTCCTCCTCCTCCTCCTCCTCCTCCTCCTCTTTCGTACCTCTCTCCATCCCTCTCTCCATCCTCCTCCTCCTCCCTCCTATACTTTCTCTCTACGCACTCCCCTCTCCACTCCTCTCCCTCCTCACCTATGGATATATAACGCTTCTCTGCTGCCCCCCTCTCACTCGCTGCCCCATACTGTTCCTCACACCCCTCCTCCCTCCCCTCTCCTCCCAATTCTCCCTTCTCTCTCGACCCCTCTCCTCCCCATCCCCCCCCCACCTCCCACGCAATCCTATCCGCCCTACTCCCAAATACCACAGCCAGCCCCTCATAGGCCACGGCCCAGTTGAAACTAGTAAGTTTTTTAACTGCCCGCCTCACCGCATCGGAATCATGTGCTTGCACCGTTGCAAGGTCTAATTCATCCTCCTCCTGTGCCGCTGCTGTATTTGACTCCTCCCCTCCCTCATCCGTAGCTCCCTCTTCCTCCTCTTCCTCCTCCTCTTCCTCTTCACCCTTTTCCTCCTCTTCCTCCTCTTCCTCTTCTTCCTCCTCTTCCTCCTCCTTTTCCTCCTCTTCCTCCTCCTCTTCGCCCTCTTCGTCCTCCTCTTCCTCCTCTCCCCCCTCTCCCTCCTCTTCCTCCTTGCCTTCTTCTCTCTCTTCTCTCTCCTTTCCCTCCTTATCACCCTCCTCCTCTGACTCCTCCCCATCCTCCCCCTCCTTCGGACCAACAACAGGCAGGGGCGCAAAGGGCAGCAGGGACAGCAGGGGGTAGGCCAGTAGAGCCTCCACCAGAAGAGACGCTGCTGCTGCTGCTGCCTCCCCTGCCGCCTCTTCAGCTACAGCCTGTGAGAAATGCACTCCTGCTGCTGTGCCTGCTACCACTGCTTCTGCCTCTGCTTCTGATACGTTCGCTGCTCGTGCTGCTGCTGCTGCCTCCCCTGCCGCCTCTTGTGCTACTGCCTGTGAGAAATGCACTCCTGCTGCTGCTGTGCCTGCTACCATTGCCTCTGCCTCTGCTTCTGATACGTTCGCTGCTCGTGCTGCTGCTGCTGCCTCCCCTGCCGCCTCTTGTGCTACTGCCTGTGAGAAATGCACTCCTGCTGCTGCTGTGCCTGCTACCATTGCCTCTGCCTCTGCCTCTCCCCCTGCCTCTGCTAGTTTCGCTGCTGGTGCTGCTGCCACTGCTGCTACTCCTGCTGCCTCTTCTGCTACTGTTTGCGAGAAAAGCACTGCTGCTGCCGTGCCTGCTGCGGTAGCTGCTGCTGCTGCTGCAGCCACATTTGAACCACCTCCTACTGATTTCTGGGATGCACAACCTGCTGCTTCCTGTGATGCTACTTCCTGTGCTGCTGCTTCCTGTGATGCTGCTTCCTGTGATGCTGCTTCTTGTGCTGCTGCTGCTGCAGCCGTGCCTGCTGCGGTAGCTGCTGCTGCTGCTGCAGCCACATTTGAACCACCTCCTACTGACTTCTGGGCTGCACAACCTACTGCTTCCTGTGCTGCTGCTTCCTGTGCTGCTGCTTCCTGTGCTGCTGCTTCCTGTGCTGCTGCTTCCTGTGATGCTGCTTCCTGTGATGCTGCTTCCTGTGATGCTGCTTCCTGTGATGCTGCTTCCTGTGATGCATATTCAAGATGCCTCTCCCTACTCTTCCTGTCCCCTCTCCCTGCACAACCCCTACTTATACCCTGAATCACTCTCATTTTCTCACCAATCCTTCCTCTGCCCCTGTTCCTCCCACTCCCATCTTCCCCCCTTCCTTCACACTCCCTCGCACTCCCAACCATCCTCCTCCTCCTCTTCCCTTCCCTGCTTTTCCCAGCTACCCCTTTCACTACCGTCCGCTGATGGTGCTGCTGCTGATTATCGCCTACACGATCCTTCCCCCCCAACTGCGCATGCTGCTTCTTCTTCTTCTCCTCCCCCCACCACCTATCCATCTCATCATCCCACCATCTGTCCAGGGTGGATTGCAGAAAGTCAAAGGCAGGCGACAGCACTGGTAGCTTCTCTCGTATGCGCGTGGACAGCACGAGAGACTTGAAGAGGTAGTGCCTGTAGGGGAGAGGGAAAATAACCAAAACAAGGTTGCTGAGTATTCATCTCTCTACCTATCCATTTCATCATCCCACCATCTATCCAGGGTGGGTTGCAGGAAGTCAAAAGCAGGTCAAAAGCAGGTCCAAAGCAGGTGAGAGCATGTACAGTCCAAACTCACATGAGCATGAACATTCCAAACTCACATGAGCATGTACAGCCAAACTCACATGAGCATGTACAGCCAAACTCACATGAGCATGTACAGTCCAAACTCACAAGAGCATGTACAGTCCAAACTCACATGAGCATGTACAGTCCAAACTCACATGAGCATGTACATTCCAAACTCACATGAGCATGTACAGCCAAACTCACATGAGCATGTACAGTCCAAACTCACATGAGCATGTACAGTCCAAACTCACATGAGCATGTACATTCCAAACTCACATGAGCATGTACATTCCAAACTCACATGAGCATGTACATTCCAAACTCACATGAGCATGTACATTCCAAACTCACATGAGCATGTACAGTCCAAACTCACACGAGCATGTACAGTCCAAACTCACATGAGCATGTACAGTCCAAACTCACATGAGCATGTACAGTCCAAACTCACATGAGCATGTACAGTCCAAACTCACATGAGCATGTACAGTCCAAACTCACAAGAGCATGTACAGTTCTGCTGTTGCAGCTGAGGGGACTTTCGAGTCCCGCTTACTCAGAAGTCAACTCACATGGGTATGTGGGACTGCTGCTGTTGCTGCAGCAGCAACAGATGCTGCTGCCACCATGCATCGCCTGCTGCACCACCTTCCATCGTGCACTCCCCATCACCCAGACTAGCGCTTGTCGCTTGCCCGCTTATCGCCTGTCCGCTTATCACCTGCCCGCATATCGTCTGCCCGCTTATCGCCTGCCCGCCTATCGCCTGCCCGCTTATTGCCTGCCCACTTATCGCCTCCCCACCTATCGCCTGCCCGCTTATCACGGCTCCCAAGCCTGCAAACGACTTGCGTGCCCGGGGCAGCTTGATGTCGCCCTGCCTGCTTGCCTCTGCTGCTGCCGCCGCCCAGATTTCATCTTTGTCTAGTTGATCCCGTACGGTTTTGGATGTAACCCTGGGGGAAGTGCGAGGGCATGTAACAAGGCAAAGCGGGTGGAGAAAATGGTAAGCAAATGCAGAAGCATGAATACTCCAGGGCTTACCTAAGTTTGAAGTCATTGATAACTCAGGATGCTTACCTAAGTGTGCATAAGTCTCGCCAGGACACCCTTGAACAGAGCATGGTCAGAATCTCTTGAGGCAAGGAGAGGAACGGTACCCTGTCCCCTAGCTCTACACCCATCCACACTCTCTCCCTCTCCTCCCTCTCCTCCCTCTCCTCTCTCTCGTCCGCCTCTTCTCTCTCCCCTCCCCCCTCCAAATCTTGATTATTCTCTCCCTCTTTCCCCTCCTGTCGAGGTCTGGTTCTCCTCTTTCGCTTCTCTCCCTTTCGGATATCTCCCCTCCGCCCCCCGCTCGCGCTGTCCACCACGACCGTCGATTCCTTCGCCCGGCTGATCTCGACCGCCCATCCTGGAAACGCGAAGGAGATCTTCGGACGGTCCAGATTCGCGGAGGACGCGTCAAGGGATGCGGAAAAGGGCGAATCGGAGAGGATTGGCTTTGCTAGTGTTGCCGTTGAGGGATTCTCGATAGCCGCAACAACTCCAGGCGCAGCAACGGCAACAGCAGCAGCGAGAGTAGAACCACCACCAGTACCAGAACCGGGAAATATTTCCTTAGCTTCACTCTTAACAGCCGCAGTGGATACTGGCGTGTCCTGCACGCAACGACCACCCTCCGCTACAATCGCGCTGCCGCCACGCCGAGGTAATAGCTCAAACAGGGTGTGCGTTGTGCGCAACGGCTGCGAGTCGCGGAATTCGCGGAATTCGAGCTCAGACGAGTGGCGGCTGGCGTGTCCTGCGCGCAACGGCAGCGGGTCGCGGAATTCAAGCCCCGCAGAGCTTGTCGGGACGCGACACGACGTGATTGGGTTACTGACGGCAGCCGGAATGGATTTTGCGACGGCTAGCTTCTCGCGGCAGTGCTCCTGGAACGACGACTCCAAAAGATCGTCCAGCGCATCGTCATCGTTATCGTCGTCGTTACCGTCTTCGCGAATGTCGCACACGTTGTCGCCTGCGGAGATGGCATCGTGACCGTCTCGTCCTGCTTCCATTAGTAAACGGCGCTGCTAAAGCTATCTGCTTTTGTTTGCCTAATACGCTCACTGAATTTGCGTATGGAATATAGTAGCAGCTCCGATGCTGGCCGCGAAGGTTTACCCCTGCCTCTAGCTTCTAGGCTGCTATTTGGCAGCTTCAAGCACAAAATCTTCGGCAAAGCGAGACTTGAAATTCTACAAGCTCTAAAATATTTCATCTGCACTGCACGCCCCTTGTACCTAGTTCTTTTTGGTCTTCCATTTCCATTTCCACCTCCTACCATCCATCTTGAGCATACGCAGCCTCAACTTTAGCCTCACAGAAACGAGATATCAGGCTGCAAGTTGAGGCCTATAAGTATCACAGGATCGACACTGAAATTGATGTAGTTCTCTATAATTTTTTATTGAGAGTGGAGAACTTAAGAATCTCCATAACATATCCTCCAACTGCTCCTTATAGCGTACGCTGAACCAGCTCTAATGGGCTCACAGTGAAGCTTCAGGGGAGTATTTCACACGTGCTTCTGTTCGATGTGGAAGTTCTCTCTGGCTCACCGCTTTCAACCGCTATGTCAGTCGGCACTTCTTTTGCTGGCTGCCGGGAACTGTCGGGTAGGGTCCATATCGTGGAAATTCTCCAGCCTTCCGAAGTTACACACAGTAGCACTGGCATTCTGGTTCCATACGGCAGCAAATCCGAGGCGGGAAAATTCTGTACAGTACAGTATTTCTCATCAAGATCCAATCTAGAAATTCAGGGTGAGGAATTGTTCTCACGTCGTTACAGTACCGCAGATCATCCCAGAGAGCAACCGAGCGGAGAGGAAGCGCGTAGGTGTTGCGCCTGCGCGCGGGCAGGAGCAACTCTGTTCCTCACCCAAACCGGAAATATGGGTTACCCAAATTTCCTCGAGCACTACAAAACTGTGTATTGTTCCCAGCGAGGTACATACAATTTGGTTTCTCCTCACAGCACTGAAACTCCAGAAGCAAGTGCTTCAGTAGCCTCCTTTCGAATCCGGACTAAACTGTAGAAGTGGCCTTTAGGACGTGGCCCAGACCGCCTCTGATCGGCGCTGATCGTATCGGGGCGGATCTGATCGGGTTGCTTGTGATTGCATTGCTCGCGCCGCCCGATCAGTACTGATATTCCTAGAAAATTCAAAGCGCCTGTCTCGCAAGCGTTTCAGCATTTCCTAACCCTTTCGTCCCATTTTTGGCGAGAACGAAGCGTAGCGAATTTTATGTTTCCATGTAATATCGCAAATTCCACATTAAAAGATGCATGTGCGACAGCCTGACGAGCTTAACAAGACACTGTAACTTTTTTCGCGGGTTTCGCCAAGTTCCCCAATCCCATGCAATCAAGTGATCGTGACTGATTGTGTGTGATTGTGATTGATTGGGGTGTTTGAGGCGGTTGATCGAATTGGGGCGATCAATTGATCGCGATCAATTGATTGCCCCTGATTGCCTGAAATTGGCCTCGGGGCTTCCTGGAATTGATTGATTGCCTCTGATCGGGGCGATCAGAGGCGGTCTGGGTCACGTCGTTAACATGACACTGTGTACAGCATTCCTGCCTAATAAGGTCGGGAAGGACTGCGTAGAAAAATCATTCTCGTGTGCACCTCAGAACATTACTGTAGCTAGGGGGTGCTCTCAACCACCCGCTGCCTTTGTTCTTGTTAAAGCCGCGGTGCAGATATCCGGGCTCCAGTTCAAACTATTATAGTTTGAAAGCCGCGTAACCCAGTATACACAGGAAAGCGAGCAGGGAGAGGTTTCTGCCAGCGGGGGAAGGGCGTGCGGAAAAGTCCTTCGCAGTATGATGTGTGTGGGGGGGAAACGGGGGAGGGCTCGGGGAAAAGCTCCGCTCAACGAGTTGAGGGGGAGCGCATGCAGCAAACTTGAAAATTCAAACTTGAACTCAAAACAACTCAAACTCGGCAAACTCTCACGCTTGAACTAGGTTCTTACTAACTTGAAGTGCGTTTTCCGAGCTACGCAGAGCCATTTCCGCTAAGATTTCTCGCGTTTCATGGTCTATTGATGTGCTCACGAATATCTGCGCAATTTCCTACCTCGTAAACACCTTTTTGTCGTATTCGAAGCGCATTGCGCTCGTTTTCCTCCGTTGCCGTCCTTATTCCTCTCCCGCCCCTCCATTCCTCACGTATCTGCGGTAGCAAAGGCTCAACGGTAGCGACAGGCAGGAATGGGTGCGACGGTGGCGAGCAGCGGGGCGACGATAGCGAGCGGTGCGGCGACGATAGCGAGCAGCGGGGCGACGATATGAGCAGCGGGGTGACGATAGCGAGCAGCAGGGCGACGATAGCGAGCACCAGGGCGACGATAGCGAGCTCCAGGGCGACGATAGCGAGCATCAAGGCGACGATAGCGACAACCAGGGCGACGATAGCGAGCTCCAGGGCGACGATAGCAAGCACCAGGGCGACGATAGCGAGCAGCGGGGCGAAGCATCTGTGCGACGGTGGCGAAGCATCTCGCGTCCCCCTCCATATTTATTCCTCTCCAATGCCTCCCCCTTTCCGATCCCTTGCCCGGTCCTCAGCATCAACTTCTCTTGGGCAGTGCCCTCCCTGTTTTCCTCTCCCTTTCCCCCTGTCCTCCTCTCCCTTTCCCCCTGTCCTCCTCTCCCTTTCCCCCTGTCCTCCTCTCCCTTTCCCCCTGTCCTCCTCTCCCTTTCCCCCTGTCCTCCTCTCCCTTTCCCCCTGTCCTCCTCTCCCTTTCCCCCTGTCCTCCTCTCCCTTTCCCCCTGTCCTCCTCTCCCTTTCCCCCTGTCCTCCTCTCCATTTCCCCCTGTCCTCCTCTCCCTTTCCCCTTGTCCTCCTCTCCCTTTCCCCCTGTCCTCCTCTCCCTTTCCCCCTGTCCTCCTCTCCCTTTCCCCCTGTCCTTCTCTCCCTTTCCCCCTGTCCTCTCCATTTCCCCCTGTCCTCCTCTCCATTTCCCCCTGTCCTTCTCTCCCTTTCCCCCTGTCCTCCTCTCCCTTTCCCCCTGTCCTTCTCTCCCTTTCCCCCTGTCCTCCTCTCCCTTTCCCCCTGTCCTTCTCTCCCTTTCCCCCTGTCCTCCTCTCCATTTCCCCCTGTCCTCCTCTCCCTTTCCCCCTGTCCTCTCCCTTTCCCCCTGTCCTCCTCTCCATTTCCCTCTGTCCTCCTCTCCCTTTCCCCCTGTCCTCCTCTCCCTTTCCCCCTGTCCTCCTCTCCCTTTCCCCCTGTCCTCCTCTCCCTTTCCCCCTGTCCTCCTCTCCCTTTCCCCCTGTCCTCCTCTCCCTTTCCCCCTGTCCTCCTCTCCATTTCCCCCTGTCATCCTCTCCCTTTCCCCCTGTCCTCCTCTCCCTTTCCCCCTGTCCTCCTCTCCCTTTCCCCCTGTCCTCCTCTCCCTTTCCCCCTGTCCTCCTCTCCCTTTCCCCCTGTCCTCCTCTCCCTTTCCCCCTGTCCTCCTCTCCATTTCCCCCTGTCCTCCTCTCCCTTTCCCCCTGTCCTCCTCTCCATTTCCCCCTGTCATCCTCTCCCTTTCCCCCTGTCCTCCTCTCCCTTTCCCCCTGTCCTCTCCCTTTCCCCCTGTCCTCCTCTCCATTTCCCTCTGTCCTCCTCTCCCTTTCCCCCTGTCCTCCTCTCCCTTTCCCCCTGTCCTCCTCTCCCTTTCCCCCTGTCCTCCTATCCCTTTCCCCCTGTCCTCCTCTCGCTTTCCCCCTGTCCTCCTCTCCATTTCCCCCTGTCCTCCTCTCCATTTCCCCCTGTCATCCTCTCCCTTTCCCCCTGTCCTCCTCTCCCTTTCCCCCAGTCCTCCTCTCCATTTCCCCCTGTCCTTCTCTCCCTTTCCCCCTGTCCTTCTCTTCCTTTCCCCCTGTCCTTCCCTCCCACCTTTCCTCCCCCTCTCTCACATCCCTTCCCTTTCCTACTGTCCTCTCCCACCATTCACGCTTCTCTCAGCCATCCCTTTCCCCCCTCCCCTGCCCCTCGCCTTCCCCCACTACCGTCCCTTCCCTTTCCACTACGTTCTCTCGTTCAATTCAGCCAACAGTACCAGCTTTGCTTGGCCACTGAAGGCTGTCTATCATATCTAAGTTTCCATGCTCTCTTCAATTTCCCTACCTAACATTCTTCAATAATGCGCAACGTTTCCTTCCCCTTTTCCCCTCCCCCCTCCTCCCTGTAAATGGACAGCTGCACCAATAGTGGATCGGAGTGTAAAAATCGGCTCTCCTTGGATTATGCCATGTTGTTTGCTTGCGATCCTTTGCATGATAAGGATTTCAATATGACATTCCAAGTCTTGCAGGTCTGTACAGTTGATGTTCTTTCTCCCCATTAGAAATAATACTCTTGCAAATGGATGGATAAATAAACCAAAATAAACCTTGTAAGTGAAATATGTATTTTGCAAAGTTTTTATGAAACATAAGGTTTATCGTTTTGCAATGTGGAGGTGTTATTGGCAGAACAATCAGCGAAAGGGAGTATGGGGGTGTTGATGTGGTCCCATTTCCCGTTTCGTGTGTGTTCCCCCCTTCCCTTCCTCCCACCCCTTCCCCCCCACTTTTCCTTTCGAGGTTCGCGACATTCGCCTTGGATGTTTTCATCGCAACACAACTTACACACTCGCTAGCCAATTGACTACCAGTACGGAACAAGACAAAACCCGGCTTGTCACTGTTCCTAAGATAGTTGCACCGCGGCTTTAACGCTAATCGACGAAGACGTACCTTCAAGCATCAAAATGAGGGGCTGAGCTGAACTCCTTTGAACAGTCAAGGCTCACCACAGACACAAAACCTTGTAAACAGAAAAGTAACATCTCCTCCTACAAACGTCATACTCTAAGGGCGTGTAAAATAGCCGAACCCAGAAATTCGGCCACCATTAGTCGGGACGTTTTGGCGAGAGTACCCGTTTGAACCCGTAAGTACCAAGCTGTCTCGTATCCGAACCCTTAAGTGCCGTAATGGCCGAAAATCCGGCCATTAGCAAATTTTGCATGTGTGCGGTGATTTTACATGCCCTTAAAGCCGTTGTAAAAAATTGCACAAGTATTAAAAAGTTGATGAGAGGGGGTTCTCGCTGGCTTGGGTGTTGGCGAGTGTTTCCGATTTCATGAAAAGTTTTTTTTTTTTTTTTTTTTTTTTTCATCAGACCCAGCCAGCCCCTCGTTTCTATACTGGTGGGTGTGTCAGACATCGAAAGCCCAAAATTACAGCTGCGCTTCTTTTCAAAGCTTGCACAGCCCACTTCGTCAAGTTTTAAACACTTGACTCGCGTAGTCCGCAATTTGGGCCGTGGGCTTTTAGCCTCAGGTGTAGTTGCATCTTGGTATTGTTAATGTATGTGATTCCAGCTCAATTCAAGCAAACCAGTTTATATGTTTTTTGGGTAGATACTTAAATAAAGAAATGTGAAAACTCAAGATATGTTTCACATATCTAGATTTACCAAAATTCCTTATGCAACCATTATAAAAGATATCGAATGGCTTTATGAATCTCAACAAATAATATTTGTTATTGATTGTCAGTTGTTGCGAGAGAAACCTATGTACGTACACATTGTCTTCCATAGCTTGAAATACGTTATTTTGTAGAGTGTCACTAAAAAAAAGCATTACCAATATGCGCACTTAGTCAAATATTTTAGATCTACATATGATCAAATAAACGTCGGTGATAAAGATGTGAATTGTTATGCTGGCATGCGAAGAAATCAATTTTTGATATCTGTCATCGTATATTAGTGAATATATTTAATATATTTATGGAAAAGCCAAACATTGGGCCTGCCATGCAACAAAAAAACAAAGAGAATATGATTAAAACACAAGATCCGAATTACACAACGAAGTCAATAGGGAAATTGTAGGTTCGAAATATTCCATAAGGAGGTTCGGTTACAATTTCAAAAACCATTCTCATCAAGAACCAACTTAAAATCCTGGACCAATCACGTGAAGGTGGTGACAATTTGCCACCCGACGTGGCAATTCTGGTTTGGGCCTTTAAATGCTGAAGGTTGCATAATCTTTCAGTGGGGATAAACTGATTCCGATCTACATGTTTGGGTATTTAGATATAGGGAAAACTGTACAGAGAATTTGGTGTAGTAAAACAGAAGTACACATGGGCTTCGATAATTTCATTCTTTCCAATTTTAAGACCCTTGTCGTCTGGCTCCTGGTTGAGAGCGGTTCGGTCCACCCAACAACCCTCCGATACCCTAAACCGAGTACAACCGCTCTCGCAGAGTTCAGAAGAGTCAGAAACCCCGAAATCTTTCGTGAGAGTGTTGAAATTGGAGGGAACTTTTTTCCCCCCCCCCAATTTTGGAGGGAAACGACAAGGACGCGGCTCGGTGCCCACTTTTTGAAATTATCGGAGCCCAGGTGTACACCCTGATACTCACTCAACACCCACTTTGAACACGAGCACTGCCACTCCATACGCCCAATGGTCGACATTCACAGCCAACGGTCCGCTCGTTACTGGCCCACGACAAAACCAGGATATTCTTATCTCGAATAAGTTAATCGAGTTTCCCAGACAAAACACGCTGGGCTACCCACAATTATGGCGACTGTTCTACATTCAGTCCCATTTTGCCTCTAGTGAGCACCTGCTCGAGAGAGGAGTACAGGGAAAGATGGGGAACGAGACTGAAATAGGCATCAGGTATAGTCTGATGTGGCTGTACGGAGCTGATGTGGGTGATGCGAGAACAGTGCAAAGCCGCCAAATCATAAATCATATCAGAATATTGTGTCACTGTACCGGTAGAACGCGGAGGAATTTTCCGGGGTCGGATCGAAACTGTAAACGTCGGGAATAATGTTCGAGATCCACATGAATGTGCAAGACGAAGGCAAGACGAATGATACACAATCGTCTTGCCTTCTCTGGGTGGTTACAAGGTAGCTCCAAAATGTACGTCTACAGTTCATGGGTAATGTTCAGGGTGGTGTTTAGCGGTTGAAGTGGTAAAGCAGGTCAACCGGTCTGGTGTGCACAAGATCGTACTCAACCGCTTTTATTGAACAGAAAGTAGAACAGTTGCACCAAGGCTTGCAGGTACAAAATCCTAGTTTACACATTGATATAGGGGCTATGAATATACGTTAAATAGCACAATCCCTACCAAAATCGGCTTGTGCAGCCCCTCCAAAACCCCACAAATGACACAGTAATGTGCTCCCTTCCGTAGTTAGTGTGGAATCTAACAATTGTCGTTATGAGTGCGCTCGGTGCACGCTCCACTCCAACAGAACAAAGAAAGGTGAGCTGTCGCGAGGACCACCACGCAAAGCAGGGCCGATTCGTGCGCTCACTGCACATTATCTCCTCTCCTCCTTCGTGTCTCTCATCAGACTCAGCTCTTCTGTCTGGAGAGCATCACCTCCCCCACAACTGAGGCTGCTTGCCTTGCACATCTTCAAGTTCCAAGTCCTGGTGCTACAAAATCCCTCCCGCCAACTTTCTGCACATTTTTTGTTCTCGAAGTTGCTTCATTCCAAGACAAGCCGTCAAACCTTAGGTAGCTTCGCAGTTTCTCCAAACTAGGAATACTACTACAATCCTTCGCAGCTAATTCCGTTAGAAACACATCTGAATCAAGCAGACGCGGAGACTCGCAATGGCCACCCCTTCCGGTAATATCCTGCCGCTAATAGCTGACGGCACCGTCAAAGCCTTGTGGCACGATATTCTCCTCTTTCCGCCTCCTCCCTCTTCCTCTGCCGCCTCCCCCACCTCCCCTGACGCGGCAACGTACGGTGACGTCATCCCCTCTTACACCTCATCCTTCTCCACCGCCCCCCCGCCGCCCGACAACCTCTGCATTTTCGTCTGCACGCGCACGCGTTCCGCGGAACCTGGCGCCGCGGGCGGCGCGGGAGCGGGGAAGGCTAGCAACTCCGCCTTCCGCGTGCGGCGGCGGCGGCTGCTGCTGAGCGGTGCGACGGAGTTCGACGAGGACGAGAACGTGCCGTGGAACATGGGCATACTTCCGCAGACCTGCGTGCTCGCTTGCGGAGCCGCCGCTGACGCCGCGAATGACGGCGGTTCGCCGGGGAAAACCAGCAAACCGGCTCCGCAAAGCGCCATCGCTCCCGCAAGTGCCGGAAATGATTCCGGCGGCAGAAGCGCCGCGGGATCGTCGGACGGCTTCGCGTCGCTGTTCGATTACGCTCCGATACAGGCTATCGAGATAGGATCTGCACCGCGAGAAATCGGGGATACGTACGGTGTGATTCCGCTAGCGGCGCTACCGGTGCAGCGACCTAATATGGGCGGCTCGGAGGTTTCCTATAGGCTGATTGTGATTGCGGCGGATGACCCGTTAATGATTCCGGAGGCGAGTGGCTATAACGGATTTGGAGTCGCGACGATCGGGGAGGACCAGATTGCGGAGAGGGAGGAGTTGCAAGAGGAGGTGGAGCGGTGGGCCGTCAGAAACGGCTTCTCCAACCGAGTCGACGGTAAGTTAGTTAGGCGGCCCGCATGTTTTCCCCCCTGGAATCTTCGGTCCCCGCTTTCCACTCTTCTTCCCGCTTTCCCCCGCTTCCTCTCGTACGTCGTTTGCTGCGCCGTCTCCTTCCGCCCCCCCTCCCCTCGATCCCCTTCCTTTTCGCCCCCTTCTTTCCGCACCCACGCAACCCTATTTCCCCCCTACCCCCTTCTCCCCAAATGTACGCATTCCCCCACACATCACCCCCCCCCCCTAACCCCATCGTTCCCCTCAACCGCTTCTTCCCTCTCTTTGGACCGCCAGATTGGGATCTGCAGGAGGATAAAGACGCGGATACAATCTTGATCGACGCGCATCGCGTCTGGAAGCTAGTCTTCCCGACCCTTCGCAAGCCGACGCGCCTCGCCCGTGGAGCGACCTTCCGCCGACTCGATCCACGGTCGTCCTTCGCGGCGTGTCCCGGAAGCCCCGCCACTGCGCCACCTCGCGTGCTGGAGCTCGTCGCGAAGCCGGCAGAGACGTGCGTTATTTCCGCCGCGAAATCCGCGTCGTTTTCGCACAAATCCGCGCGAAAGTTCAACGTGAGCGAGTTCAGCCGAGCGAAAACCGTCGGGGGTGGCGAGTTGTACCGAAACGGTAGCTACGGCGACAGCTTCGGCAGCGACAGCTTTGGCAGATTCGACAGCCCCTATAGCGGTGGCAGCGACGCCGATTTGCTGTCACCTGGAAGCGGCTTCGGCGGCGGCGAAAGCGGAAACAATAGCAGACGAGCTGCGGGGCTCCCTCCTGCGTCTCCCCCGGTGCGGCGCGTGCACAGCGTGGAGGCGCTTGAGGAAGAGGACGCGTCGCGGGGCTTAAGTAGGTCGGTAACTAAGTCTGCGCTAGTCCGAAGCTCGACAGTCTTGTCGAAGAGCAAATCGTCTCGCGCAATGAAAAAGAGCGTGAGCTTGAAAGCGGAATTAAATGGTGGGGAGGATGGCGGCAGAAGCGGGGGGTCTTGGTTTCGGCGCGGAAGCAGCAAGGGGGAAGCGGTGCCACGATCAGAATCGACGAATATGGGTAACCGGGAATCAGACGGTGGCGATCATTCTTGGGGGGGACGGTGGGGAAGAAGCGGCGGGGGAGGTGGTTCAGAGGCGGGAGGAAAGGGGGAAGGCGGAAAGGCGTTATTTACGCACAGCCGCACTTCAGCGCAACTGGGGGGTGCGCGAGTGTTATCCAGGGGGACTGGCTCGGCGGGAAGCGGAAGCGAACGCGATCTTCCGCCATACGCCCCCTTCACTCGTCGCCACACGCACACTAGCGACAGTCGCAGCAGCGCCAGCGAAAAGTCGGACGAAGATTTGAGTTTTGTGGATGCTGACTTCAACGGGTTGGAATCGGCCAATCAGAAGGACATTCTCAAGGCCCGTCAGCCGCAGCGCGCGGCGTGGATGAAGAAGGCACTGAGTATGAAAGTGCCGAGCGGGCTTCACCATAAGCACATTCGTGACAGTCACCACCAGAGCGATACCTACAGTCCACCATCCATAAGTTCTTCTTACATGGGGAAAGATGAGGACTTATACGGAGACCTTGCTACTGAGGATAACGAGTTTCTCAACATCAACAGTCCTGTAGCTGCTACAGTACAGTGCTTTAAAGGGGGTAAAGGAAGCACCCCTAACCGCACCCCCAACCGCTCCCCCATTCGCTCCCCTATTAACTTCTCCGCTCGCTCGTTTCAAGCTGCGTCTGTTCCCTCCAGTCGACGTGCTTCGTTAGACACTCCCTCAGAAGCTGGTTTGGAGAAGTTTCGGAATTTTCCTAAATCCCCCGTACTTGCAGCAGAGGAAGCGTCTGCTTATGAAGAGGATAAATCAGGACCGTCGAGGAGGCGGACGGTGGCCTTTACAGATGAGAAATCAGGCAGCAGCAGCAGCAACAGCACAAGCAGCAACTCTAAAGCTCATGCTTTCCGTGACAACAAGTTGCGTGCTTCTAAAGAGGCCTTGCCCAAGCAGAAGATTCCGGCTCTGTGACAGTTAGCCGGCATCCAAGGCAGCAGCAACAGCAGCAGCAGCAGCAGCAGCAACCCTAAAGCTCATGCTCTGCGTGACAACAAGTTGCATGCTTCTAAAGAGGTCTTGCCCAAGAAGATTCTGGCTCTGTAACGGTCAACAGCACCCATGGCAGCAGCAACGGCAGCCAGCAGCAGCAGGGAGCCCAGTCGTGGATTCGGTTCGACCAATGGGAGCATGCTAGGTGGCAGCAATTGGGGGAGAAGGGGGGAGGGAAAAAAGAGGGGGGACGACGCCATGGGGTGGATATGGTGTTTGCCATCACCAGCCCTTCTATGCATGCGAAACTGGCAAACGGAATGGGGCCATGAAGGGAGTGTGGGTGGAGGATCTCAGTACCGGATATTATTCGGTGTCTGCTTTTGAGTTGACTCAAAACTCGGCTGTGAGGGGAGTGTGGGTGGAGGATTCCCGTACCAGTCATTATTCGGTGACTGTTCTGGTGTGTGATGGGGCATCAACATCAGCATCAGCATCAGGAGATTAGTACCGTAGAGGCAGCAAGGGCAGCAGCAGCAACGATGGCTGAAGCGGGAGGAGGAAGAGCAGCTTGATTGAAGAAGGAATGGCTTAGGGGGGTGGGAACCTGACGGTGTGGTTGAATGGGGTGGGGTGGGGGGGGTGCATGAGTGCAGCAGCAGCAACAACCTACCGTACTTCTGACTGTAACTTTAGTGCTAGTGTAGTTCTTTCATTATTTCTTGTGTGCATGTGTGTGTAGCGGGTGCTGCAGTGTCGACCTTTCAACTTATTATTTTGTACTATGGGTACTGTAATACATTCTTGCACTTGATGGGTTCAGTTCGGTTTTGCATTTCTTAACCTATTGTTAGCTCCTTTCCAAAGCACTTGATTTTGAGGCGCCTCAAAGGTAATATCTTAACCTAATGCAAGTGTACCATAAGTTTGGTTCCAATTACTGTACCGGTACATGCTTTCAATTGCAATCAAGCAGAGGGCGAGCATTCATCTAGCCTGAAAGGCCACTAGAGTAGACTACTGGTGGATTGAGGCTGCTCTGACTCATCAGTAATCAGTGTACACCAGGTGCACCAAATCAGAATACGTTACCGGTACACCAATTCATTACAGCCCGAAGAAATTATTAAAGCCAGCAGCTAAAATAGTGACCCCCCCCTTCTAGTTGGGTCTGTCAGAGGTCCACTGGAGATCCCCGATTGATCCTAGGGAAGGGTTACAGGCACGTTGGCCTGGGGAGTTATGGGCGCACTGACCCGCTACTTAACAAGCCCTTTTATCCCAATGGTCTAGTGGTTGGGATTCTGACATGGTATCAGAGCGAAGGTCTCGGGTTCGAATCCCAGTGTGTGCACCTCGGGCATCTCAGTGCGGGGGGGTGTCAGAGGTCCACTGGAGATCCCCGATTGATCCTAGGGAAGGGTTACAGGCACGTTGGCCTGGGGGGCTATGGGCGCACTGACCCGCTACTTAACAAGCCCTTTTATCCCAATGGTCTAGTGGTTGGGATTCTGACAGGGTCCACTTGAATTCTTTACGGAAGTTTGGGTGGTGTTATGTTCTTTTTTTGTCAAACACGTTTGATACTCGTGTGAGTCTTCGCATATTTTATCCAACAAAAGGCGTCGCAAGCATGTGCACTGCAAATGTGTCGCAAGTTTGCGACACGCAAGTCTCATTCACATGCAGTGCCAATTTCACAGATGTGGAATTCACGCACAGCAAAACGCCTTAGGGCGTGTTACATTTTTTTAAGTCGCTGATAGTCCGGACGGCTGTTCGGACGCGTGCGAAGATTGCGACGTCGTACGGTCGCTTTGCGACCAAAGCGAAGTCGTAAGGAGGCAATACGAAGAATACGACGTTGTTTAGACCCTAACGAGCTCACTGCCGAGAATTGACGAGTTCTGTAACCACACAATCGTCCGGACGATTGGCCATCCGGACGAAAAAAATAAAAATTGTAACACGCCCTTAGCCAAAAACCTGTATGGCGGCAAAAACAGCATCGAGGAACAAAAAGAACGGAAAAACCAGAGAGTTAGCAGGGTGACCAGAGAAGAACGCGACAGGGCGACGGAAACGGGGCGTGAGGAGAGATATAAGTGTGCACAAATCGCAACGGGGCGTGAGGAGAGATATAAGTGTGCAAAAATCGCGGAAAGAGGTAGGGTGATGGGAGGGCAGGGAAGAAGGGCGCGAAGAGCACGACGACTGCATCTTGCGATGGCGACGGGAAGGGAGGGGAGAGCTCGATGGCGACGGGAAGGGAGGGGAGAGAGCGAGGGCAACGGGAAGGGAGGGGAGAGAGAGAGAGAGAGGGCGACGGGAAGGGAGAGGAGAGAGCGATGGCGACGGGAAGGGAGGGGAGAGAGCGATGGCGACGGGAAGGGAGGAGAGAGAGCGATGGCGACGGGAAGGGAGGGGAGAGAGCGAGGTCACCAGGAAGGGAGGGGAGAGAGAGTGGGCGACGGGAAGGGAGGGGAGAGAGAGAGGGCGACGGGAAGGGAGGGGAGAGAGAGAGGGCGACGGGAAGCGAGGGGAGAGAGCGAGGGCGACGGGAAGGGAGGGGAGAGAGAGAGGGCGATGGATGGATTAACTGCACGAAAAAAACAAAAGAAAAAGGCTAAAATGGGTCGCGGTAACGCGATAGCAGAGGGAGAACAAGACGGCGACGAGAGGACAAAGGAGATATAGTTGCAAAACGAGGGAACGAGAGGGCGAGTGAGAGGGCGACGAAGTGGAGATGCAAAGGGAGACTCGAAGGGCGACGGGAGGCCGATTCGAGGAGAGGCGACGGCTCCGAAGTGGAGGGGGAGAGAGGAAGGACGGTCGGAAGGCCGATTCGAGGCGACTTACCGAAATCGCGACGGAAACGAGGTGGCTCATGGGAGAAAGGAGGGGAAGGCTGATTCGCAGGCGAGTAGGGGGTGACGATTCATACTAAGCTAATATATTACTCATGTGAGCTAAGTCGATAGTTACGGCACGTGCCTAGGCCAGTAAAAAATAGGCGTTCTCAGCTATGCTATGCTACTTCGTGACTGAAAATCAGCTAGTTGTGAACCCAGTTCCAACTTGAAGTGGAAGTTCGCCCAGCGATGGAAACCATCGCTGGACAACGGTCGTGTGGGTGCAGCATGTAGAAATGCGACGGCGTGCCGTGTGCCCCAAAAATCGTTTTGGCGGGATCCAGAAAATTTCACGGAGGCGTGAGCCAATCAAATGAGTTCCCTCTTCCTACTCCTTTAGTTTCGAACAGTGTTGTTTCCGCCGAACTCATCGCAGCGATTTCAAGCTGGGACGGCCTTCACAATTTTATATTTCGGTTTTAATACCGTAAATCTAAACACACATCTTTGATTGGCTATTGGCTGTACCATGTGCAATTGATGATTCATTACGAGTCCTTGTTGAGTAAAAAAGAGGTAATCCCAGGGTCCTAACCCTCGCCGAGTCAGCCTAGTCGTTGCTGCGTCAGCTGAGTCACTGCCGAGTGATTGCTGAGTCATCACGAGTCGTGGATGAGGTTGAATGTGAATCTCGAGAGTTGCAACGGAATAGCGGAGATGACTGGACCGTAGCGCTGAGGGGGAGAAGAAAGAGAGGAAGAGAGAGGAAGGGGGATAGGGGCGGCGAATTGAGTGCGAAGGAATGAATTTGCGGGGAAAGGAAGAGGGAGTGAGAGGTGCAGAAGGAATGGCAGAGATGACTGGGCCGTAGCGCTGAAAGGGAAGAGGGGCAAATGAAGGGATGGAGAACGGATGGTGGATTGAGTCAGAGGGGATGGCAAGAGGGAGTGAGAGTTGGAATGGAATGGCAGAGATGACTGGGCCATATCGCTGAGAGGAGAGATGGGCAGATGAAGGGATGGAGGGCGGATGGTGGATTGAATCAGAGATGATGACAAGAGGGAGTGAGAGTTGGAATATCAGAGGGAGTGAGGAAGGGCGGACGGCAGAGATGACTGGGCCATATTGCTGAGGGAGAAGGAAGAGAGGAAGGGAAAGCAGCGGGGAATCGGAAGAGCGCTGGCACAGTGATACACTGTCACACCTCTTGCAGTCACAAGGAGCCACATCCCCACCCTCAACTCTGATAGCACAGCACCAACGCCAGCAGCTTCAATCCCTCTACAAGTGAATGCGACTGCATGATAGCGCTGGCACACTGATACACAGTCAGCTCCGCCCTTCACTAGCAGCACTGACAGGATAGTGTTGGCACACTGATACACAGTCACACCTCTTGCATCCTCCCTGAGCCACATCCCCACCCTCACACACACCCAGTCACCCTGCCACGCACACCCCTCACCTGCACACCTACTCACACACTTGCTTCTGAATAATTCGTGTTTTGAGTTGACTCAACATGCGTGTAATGAATCGTGTTTTGAGTTGACTCAACACGCGTGTAATGAATCGTGTTTTGAGTTGACTCAACATGCGTGTAATGAATCGTGTTTTGAGTTGACTCAACACGCGTGTAATGAATCGTGTTTTGAGTTGACTCAACATGCGTGTAATGAATCGTGTTTTGAGTTGACTCAACACGCGTGTTATGAATTGTGTTTTGAGTTGACTCAACACGCGTGTAATGAATCGTGTTTTGAGTTGACTCAACACGCGTGTAATGAATTGTGTTTTGAGTTGACTCAACACGCGTGTAATGAATCGTGTTTTGAGTTGACTCAACACGCGTGTAATGAATCGTGTTTTGAGTTGACTCAACACGCGTGTAATGAATCGTGTTTTGAGTTGACTCAACACGCGTGTAATGAATCGTGTTTTGAGTTGACTCAACACGCGTGTAATGAATCGTGTTTTGAGTTGACTCAACACGCGTGTAATGAATTGCGTTTTGAGTTGACTCAACACGCGTGTAATGAATCGTGTTTTGAGTTGACTCAACATGCGTGTAATGAATCGTGTTTTGAGTTGACTCAACACGCGTGTAATGAATCGTGTTTTGAGTTGACTCAACACGCGTGTAATGAATCGTGTTTTGAGTTGACTCAACACGCGTGTAATGAATCGTGTTTTGAGTTGACTCAACACGCGTGTAATGAATCGTGTTTTGAGTTGACTCAACACGCGTGTAATGAATCGTGTTTTGAGTTGACTCAACACGCGTGTAATGAATCGTGTTTTGAGTTGACTCAACACGCGTGTAATGAATCGTGTTTTGAGTTGACTCAACACGCGTGTAATGAATCGTGTTTTGAGTTGACTCAACACGCGTGTTATGAATTGTGTTTTGAGTTGACTCAACACGCGTGTAATGAATCGTGTTTTGAGTTGACTCAACACGCGTGTAATGAATTGTGTTTTGAGTTGACTCAACACGCGTGTAATGAATCGTGTTTTGAGTTGACTCAACACGCGTGTAATGAATCGTGTTTTGAGTTGACTCAACATGCGTGTAATGAATCGTGTTTTGAGTTGACTCAACACGCGTGTAATGAATCGTGTTTTGAGTTGACTCAACACGCGTGTAATGAATCGTGTTTTGAGTTGACTCAACACGCGTGTAATGAATCGTGTTTTGAGTTGACTCAACACGCGTGTAATGAATCGTGTTTTGAGTTGACTCAACACGCGTGTAATGAATCGTGTTTTGAGTTGACTCAACACGCGTGTAATGAATCGTGTTTTGAGTTGACTCAACACGCGTGTAATGAATCGTGTTTTGAGTTGACTCAACACGCGTGTAATGAATCGTGTTTTGAGTTGACTCAACACGCGTGTAATGAATCGTGTTTTGAGTTGACTCAACACGCGTGTTATGAATTGTGTTTTGAGTTGACTCAACATGCGTGTAATGAATCGTGTTTTGAGTTGACTCAACACGCGTGTAATGAATCGTGTTTTGAGTCGACTCAACACGCGTGTAATGAATCGTGTTTTGAGTTGACTCAACACGCGTGTAATGAATCGTGTTTTGAGTTGACTCAACACGCGTGTAATGAATCGTGTTTTGAGTTGACTCAACACGCGTGTAATGAATTGTGTTTTGAGTTGACTCAACACGCGTGTAATGAATCGTGTTTTGAGTTGACTCAACATGCGTGTAATGAATCGTGTTTTGAGTTGACTCAACACGCGTGTAATGAATCGTGTTTTGAGTTGACTCAACACGCGTGTAATGAATCGTGTTTTGAGTTGACTCAACACGCGTGTAATGAATCGTGTTTTGAGTTGACTCAACACGCGTGTAATGAATCGTGTTTTGAGTTGACTCAACACGCGTGTAATGAATCGTGTTTTGAGTTGACTCAACACGCGTGTAATGAATCGTGTTTTGAGTTGACTCAACACGCGTGTAATGAATCGTGTTTTGAGTTGACTCAACACGCGTGTAATGAATCGTGTTTTGAGTTGACTCAACACGCGTGTTATGAATTGTGTTTTGAGTTGACTCAACACGCGTGTAATGAATCGTGTTTTGAGTTGACTCAACACGCGTGTAATGAATTGTGTTTTGAGTTGACTCAACACGCGTGTAATGAATCGTGTTTTGAGTTGACTCAACACGCGTGTAATGAATCGTGTTTTGAGTTGACTCAACATGCGTGTAATGAATCGTGTTTTGAGTTGACTCAACACGCGTGTAATGAATCGTGTTTTGAGTTGACTCAACACGCGTGTAATGAATCGTGTTTTGAGTTGACTCAACACGCGTGTAATGAATCGTGTTTTGAGTTGACTCAACACGCGTGTAATGAATCGTGTTTTGAGTTGACTCAACACGCGTGTAATGAATCGTGTTTTGAGTTGACTCAACACGCGTGTAATGAATCGTGTTTTGAGTTGACTCAACACGCGTGTAATGAATCGTGTTTTGAGTTGACTCAACACGCGTGTAATGAATCGTGTTTTGAGTTGACTCAACACGCGTGTAATGAATCGTGTTTTGAGTTGACTCAACACGCGTGTAATGAATCGTGTTTTGAGTTGACACAACATGCGTGTAATGAATCGTGTTTTGAGTTGACTCAACACGCGTGTAATGAATCGTGTTTTGAGTTCACTCAACACGCGTGTAATGAATCGTGTTTTGAGTTGACTCAACACGCGTGTAATGAATCGTGTTTTGAGTTGACTCAACACGCGTGTAATGAATCGTGTTTTGAGTTGACTCAACACGCGTGTAATGAATCGTGTTTTGAGTTGACTCAACACGCGTGTAATAAATCGTGTTTTGAGTTGACTCAACACGCGTGTAATGAATCGTGTTTTGAGTTGACTCAACATGCGTGTAATGAATCGTGTTTTGAGTTGACTCAACACGCGTGTAATGAATCGTGTTTTGAGTTGACTCAACACGCGTGTAATGAATCGTGTTTTGAGTTGACTCAACACGCGTGTAATGAATTGTGTTTTGAGTTGACTCAACACGCGTGTAATGAATCGTGTTTTGAGTTGACTCAACATGCGTGTAATGAATCGTGTTTTGAGTTGACTCAACACGCGTGTAATGAATCGTGTTTTGAGTTGACTCAACACGCGTGTAATGAATCGTGTTTTGAGTTGACTCAACACGCGTGTAATGAATCGTGTTTTGAGTTGACTCAACACGCGTGTAATGAATCGTGTTTTGAGTTGACTCAACACGCGTGTAATGAATCGTGTTTTGAGTTGACTCAACACGCGTGTAATGAATCGTGTTTTGAGTTGACTCAACACGCGTGTAATGAATCGTGTTTTGAGTTGACTCAACACGCGTGTAATGAATCGTGTTTTGAGTTGACTCAACACGCGTGTAATGAATCGTGTTTTGAGTTGACTCAACACGCGTGTAATGAATCGTGTTTTGAGTTGACTCAACACGCGTGTAATGAATTGTGTTTTGAGATGACTCAACACGCGTGTAATGAATCGTGTTTTGAGTTGACTCAACATGCGTGTAATGAATCGTGTTTTGAGTTGACTCAACACGCGTGTAATGAATCGTGTTTTGAGTTGACTCAACACGCGTGTAATGAATCGTGTTTTGAGTTGACTCAACACGCGTGTAATGAATCGTGTTTTGAGTTGACTCAACACGCGTGTAATGAATTGTGTTTTGAGTTGACTCAACACGCGTGTAATGAATCGTGTTTTGAGTTGACTCAACACGCGTGTAATGAATTGTTTTTTGAGTTGACTCAACACGCGTGTAATGAATCGTGTTTTGAGTTGACTCAACACGCGTGTAATGAATCGTGTTTTGAGTTGACTCAACACGCGTGTAATGAATCGTGTTTTGAGTTGACTCAACACGCGTGTAATGAATCGTGTTTTGAGTTGACTCAACACGCGTGTAATGAATCGTGTTTTGAGTTGACTCAACACGCGTGTAATGAATTGTGTTTTGAGTTGACTCAACACGCGTGTAATGAATCATGTTTTGAGTTGACTCAACATGCGTGTAATGAATCGTGTTTTGAGTTGACTCAACACGCGTGTAATGAATCGTGTTTTGAGTTGACTCAACACGCGTGTAATGAATCGTGTTTTGAGTTGACTCAACACGCGTGTAATGAATCGTGTTTTGAGTTGACTCAACACGCGTGTAATGAATCGTGTTTTGAGTTGACTCAACACGCGTGTAATGAATCGTGTTTTGAGTTGACTCAACACGCGTGTAATGAATCGTGTTTTGAGTTGACTCAACACGCGTGTAATGAATCGTGTTTTGAGTTGACTCAACACGCGTGTAATGAATCGTGTTTTGAGTTGACTCAACACGCGTGTTATGAATTGTGTTTTGAGTTGACTCAACACGCGTGTAATGAATCGTGTTTTGAGTTGACTCAACACGCGTGTAATGAATTGTGTTTTGAGTTGACTCAAC